CCCGTAAAATTAAGAGACTTTGTTGAATTCTAATTTTGTGTTTGTAAATTCTGTACATTTAATTAAGTTATTGTTAATTGTTTATTGGTTTAATGTAAGTGGCTATTGTTCGGGACGAATAATACTAAGGAAGGGGCAGTGTTACGATAGCGGGGGTCATGTGACGCTAGTAACACGCCATATTCTCGAAGGTTCCTGAAGCCTCGAGTGTTTACTAGATGTATGGTATTCTCGTATATAAGACGGCCAAGAAGTGACGGCAACAATGTAATTGTACTGCAGACAGAGAGAGACTGGCGATTGAGTCGAGCACGTGAGTCGTTCGTTGTGAATTATTGCGTTTGTTATAGCGTGACAGTGGAAATTAAGTGTATTGCAAAGTTGTATTCAGAAAGAATAAACCAGTGTTATTTAAGAAAGAACTTGTGTCGCTAAAGTTTCACCGGAAAGAAATTATACGGGAAATTAACAAACGACCTGAGACGTAACAGTATTATGGTATATGCAATTTTCACATAAGGTGTTGTCAAGAAAATCGTTAAATTGATTTCATTCTGGACACTTTGTTCTTTCATTCTCTTGAGGTAACACTTGGCCTGCTCATGGATGGTTTGTCTGTAAAGCTGTATGTTGTGCGAGGATGTGGACAATGGTAGGTCATATGATGCCTGGAAATTACTACCTCTCTGAAGGTTGATTTGAAATAACCATTATGTGAGTAGCGCTAGCCGCTCTGGTTAAGTCTGTTGTTATTTTTGCAGTAACATTAGGTTTAGACAGCCTATAAGCGATTTCATTGATACAGTTTAAAGATAAAATAGCTTATCATCCAGTAAAAGCGACTGACTAACGTTATAAGCAAGTACACACACTATGTTTGTGTTAGAGATTTAATAAAAAATTTTCATTTGTGTGTTACGTTAGGCCCAGTCTCTTTATTTCGTTCTCGCGAACTCAGATGTTCTGAAAAATTCAGAACTACTCTGTAATACATATTTTGTCGAATCACCTGTTTATTCAGAGGACCTATCCAATCGTTTTAAAGTAAATCAGTTTGTCCTGAATATGTCATGTCCATATATTAATTCAAATATATGTTCGAAATACATTATCTTTCCCTTCTTTAGTAAAAGTGTACTTGCTGTACCCGATGATGCCTGGTTGAAATGTTTAACAGTATAAATTTAAAAAATCTGTTTAACCGATAATAAATATGTTTTTCAGTTACACGAAAGAGTACTACCCCTTGTTAGGCATGTGTTATTGTAATGTGTTTTATTGTATTATAAAGGGAAGTTTAACTACTTATTAAAATATAATGAAAACCTTTTCAACAAATTTGACGTTGTCGTCACGTGGGTAAACTGAAATAGAGCATGCGTTTGTATCTTCTGACTTGTCGAACCACGTAAAGAAGTTGAGAGTTGTGCCGTTGGGGTTATACTTGTAGGAAACTCAATTACAACTTGATAAAATTAAAACAGTATACTATCAATAAGAATGTCAGGAAAAATAATAGATCAAATATTAATACTTGACCCACATTCAGAATTACACTTTAAAGGTAAGTAAAAGTAATTAGTAATAGTACTAGTAAATTACTAGTACTCAGTACTACTCTTTGTCTTATTATAGTATATATAGTACTATTATATAATAATAATAATAGTAGTACTACTAGTAGTAGTCTGCTACTACTGGTATTAGCACTAGTAATTCAGAAATCTGCATTTGTTAAATAATAAATAATAATATTAATAGGCTCATAATGTATTGACAGTAATCCTATATATACAATATGTAGAGCATTAAGTTGATTCAGTAATTGCTTATTTACCGGTGTCTAACCTATGGTAGGCCTAAAAGCTACCAGTACTAACGTTACTAATTAATACTACTAGTAGTACTACTAATGACAAAAAATGTTCGATGCAGAAAACAAAATGCATAAATTTATAGATTTGTTTAACAGTAATAAAAATTTTGATTATTTGTATTAACTATTACAATTGATAAATAAACACTGATAAAATAATGAGCCACCATTATATCTAGCTTCTCAAATGATATTACAATTACATTTTTACAGTAATATAATTTGGGAAAATGGATGCCTGTCTTTCAAGGTTGCAACATAACTAGCCAATTTTTTCTCACTGTCAGCTCTGTCAAAGGTATGGTCATTCAGTCAGTTAAAAATTTAGGTCTCTGAAGGTGTAAGTATTGAAAATGTTACAAGAAAGATTAGTAAACAACTTTCCCAATATGAATGAGGTAGTCTTTACCTTCAGACCATGGCTTTAAATATCAAAACTTTATATATTTTGTTTAATTTCAACATGCTATACTAGTACTAGTATTAATCACTATTAGTTAATAATAGTTTTGGTGTATATAGGTTAACTCCACTTACTTTAGCAAGTTTATGACAGTTAACTTCATCAAGTTAATGTAGTTGTTAAATGGTTATAAAGAAAGTATTAAAAAAAAAACTTAATGCTTACATCTAATGCTTGTATCTTTCGAACAGTAGTTCCAAGTCTGTGGTATGTGTATCAGTGGGGGGATATGCAAGAACCTTTGAAGAACATTAAAAGTAATGCACCAATGTTCTGTATCTGACTGCTTTCTCCAGTGCCAGGTACTGTTGGAATGATATGCTACTTTCCCATGGTTTCCCCCAGTGGGACAGCAGTAAGTCTTTGGATTTACAATGCCAAAATCAAGGGTCAGATTCCCATCAGTGAACACAGCAGATAGCCTGATGTGGCTTTGCTAAAAGAAAACACACACTTCCCCATGGTGTGTATTGCTAATGGCATGAAAGTACGAAACATTTCATAACATATTTATTGTAATTGCTACAATATTTTCAGATAAAAGTTAAAAGCCAGTAAACATCTGAGGTATCTTTACTTATACATAAAAAATATTATTATTTATTGAAAATAAAAGGCCATAGAAATATATCATATGGACAACAAGGGACCATTTGGTACCTCAAGGCTATTTCTGCACACCAACCAAATTTCAGAACAAGTAAAAACTTAAACCCATCTTTATTTTTCAAGAAATTGATTCTCTTTTTAAACACTTGTAAAGTGCTGGTGACAACTCATACCATAAACCAACTAGCCTATTAGAAAAAGTATGTCTTCCTTACTGGAGGCTAACCTGTAATTTCTCAAATTTGGAAACTTGTGTCCTCCAGTTATACTGTCTTCAGAACATAGCACAAAGAAATCAGAAGCTTTTATCCTATTGATCCCCTGGATAACCTTGTAATCTTCAGTAATATCACCTCTTACCCTCCTTTTCTCAAGAGAAAATAGAGACCTTACCTGTCCAAATAAGATAACCTCCCATCCATGGAATCATCCTAGTAACCTTCCTCTTAACCATTTCTATTAAAGTCCATATTCATAGTTGTACATCATAATCAGTGTACATCATGAGAGAGCATATCACACCAGCTGTAACTGTCATTGAAGGAAGCAGTCAGATGCTTAACAGTAATGTATTACTATGAAGGTGCTCAGTCTAAGTGCTAGACTGTATTGAAAAATAAAACATTCTATTTTATTAAGGTACTGAATGTGGCTAACAAATGATTTACTGGTATTATGAAAGGATATATCTATATTTCTTGGGTGTGTGTTTTTTTTTGCCTATGAGGTGTAAACTCGTGCTAAAATATTTTAATATGAGAACTCATGATTTAATTAACACTTAGACTAGGTGAAGTTTAAAATGAGCTGAAGATCTTTACTGTACGCTAAATATTTCAAATTAACTATTTATGATGGAATTCAAAAGCATTATTTTTGTGATCTGACTCATGTGAACTGAATAATCAGTTATGAGAATTGCACATTTCTTTTTATTTTGTGTGAAAAGGATATCAAAGTTTTGAATTATAAACTAGGAAAATTAGAAGTAACTTGTAAATACAGTATTTAGAAGCAAAATGTAAAGTAATGGAATGCATTTTGATTAATAACTAATGGACTCAATAAAATTTGGTTTCATATTTTAAATAATTTGTTATTTTTGAATACAATCTGGCATAAAAGTTTAAATGACTTCCTTGAATAACATGTTATAGGATTATTTCCCACAGTTCCAAGAACTGGAAAGATACAAGCAGGGTTTTATTCAGTTGATTATACATATAAAGATTTAGATAGCCATAATATAGAGGTTGAAAGCTAAAACTTGCAAAATGGAATATATATTCTGAAAGATACGGGATGAAAGGATTGTCATACGAGGAGAGATTGAAATCTCTCAAATTGTTTTCTCTTGAAAAAAGAAATTAGGGGTGGGATCTGGTTGAAGTGTTTAACATTCTAAAAGGAATTGATAGTTTTGATGCATCATCTTTTTTCATACTTAACAGTGGGAATAATAAGACTAGGGGACACAAGTATAAATTTTGGCAGGGTAGCAGTCATCTTCTGTTAAGGCAGTTTTATTTTTCTAACAGGGTAGTTGGTCTTTGGAATGGGTTACCTTTGGATGTTGTGGAGGCAGTAAATTTATATGAGTTTAAGAGAAAGCTTGATAAGTATATGAATGATAAGATCTGGCTTTAAGATTTTTTCTTTTTAATTTAATAATAGTTTTAGTTTAGTTTAGAGGATGGAACAGCCAAGATGGACCAACAAGTCCCATGTTGTCCCAGAACATTATGTTTATATAAGAAGATCACAAATTTTGTGATGCCATGAGATCATGTTTATGTAAGCAGATCAGTTTTTACAAATATTGTGATGCCATGAGATCATGTTCGTATAAACATGTCAGTTTTACCTGAAATGCATGCATGAGAAACTATTTCACAATAATTAATATACTGAATCAATCCGTTTTTATTTCCTATTACATGGTCATCTACAATCAGTTATGTTCTTAAAAGTATTTACTTTAGTATATTGTTTAAATTGACTGAGTTAATTAAACAAAATAGTCTGAATCTCAGAATTATACATGGATATATACATAACTATATTTAGTAATTTCAGTGTATGAACATTATATTACCCTACAGGTGATTTCTTGGTTATTACATACCTAAATTGTGTATTTTGTGTTTAGCATTAATCTGAATTTTATTTTGATAAAATCATCCTTTTTATACTGAATTACTCATGTATATTAAGTTGTATACTGTGAGGTTTCAACACTGGTGAATTGTTTGCACAAACCTAAGTGAATGAATTCAAAAGTAATCAGTTGTAAACACTACTTGAAATTGGATAAATTTAATTGGCTGAAAAACAAATGGTTAATAAACATTTAACTTTTGTGTGTAGTCTGTAGATATGTAAAAGTAATGTCAGATACTGTTACTAATTATCACATAAAACATCCTGTATTTTTTATCATCACATGTATTTGGTATTGAATTCATAAATTATATGTATCTAAAGCTCCATTGCATAAGTAGCATAATTTTCTTTGGTTCAAATAACACAACAGTATGATGTAGGTAGAAATTATATTGCATTAGAGCAAATTCAATAATAGTTTGTTTGGTTTAATTAACATATAAACACTTGTTACATTAGACAAATTTGATTGTTGAAATATTCATGATTGTATTACAGGGCCTTTTACAGATGTAACAACCTCGTACCTGAAACTTTTCAATCCTTCAGAATGGAAGGTTTGTTTCAAGGTGAAGACTACTGCTCCAAAACGTTATTGTGTACGCCCAAATAGTGGCCTCATAGAACCAAAACAAACTGTGCATGTGGCTGGTAAGTGTGGTGAAATTTCTTACTATATATATGCCGAAACATAATATTACTCTTTACATGTGTATTCAAGTTAGAATGAAATACTTGTTGTTAATCTCTCATTTATTTGATGAATTTTTAGTCCTAAAAATTTTGAATATTTTTTTTCCCCATTCAGAATTAGTGTGCATTGATTTTATTTGTATACATAGTTTGAATTATGAATCTGTAATGGCCCATTCACAAGTATTGCTCATGTTAAACAAAAGAAAATAGAGTATGTAACATAACAAAACCTGTTGGTAGATGGTTTAAATAATTTAATATAATAATTATTCAAGTAAAAAGTTTGAGCTATAGCTAATAATTATTAATACAAGAATATTTAACTTTTAAATTTTTTTTTCAGTTATGCTTCAACCTTTTGATTATGATCCTAATGAAAAGCATAAACACAAGTTTATGGTACAAACAATGTTCGCTCCTGAGGGTGAAGTAAATCTTGACTCTTTGGTAAGTTTAATTGGTCATCTTTTTTTTTTTAAAGGAGCCTGTGTTTTGTTTACTAATAATGTATCCATGTGTTTTAGATGAAGCCATAGTTATTGTTTTTTAGATTTATATTTAAATTTACATCATTCAACATCTTTAACATGGAAGTAAGTAATTTCAAAAGTTGGAAATTGATTTGATGAACAAAGATATGTAAACGTTAATGAAAAATTTTGTGAATTTCTATAAATGCTTTAGCCAATAATTTTCACAAATAAAGTTTGGTAATGTAATAATTTTTGGTTATTTTCTGAAAGTAAAAAAAAATATTGGAATGTGTGTAGCCGTGTTTTTAAGTAGAAATACCATGCTCAAAGATCAATTCCTCTAAATTTTAGATGAAATTTGTAGAAACTTAAAGGTAAAAAATTGAATACAGTCATTACATATTATTTTATTGGTAGCCAATTATGATCAGATTCTAGTCTTGTTTCCCTTATTTGCTATTCATAAACTACATGCAACATTGCAGTGATCATTCTTTGGTCAAACATCTTTTTTTTTGCAACTAGTTAAATTTTTAGGAACTTGGGACATGAAAGTTAATTTTAAAATGTTTTTGTGTTTAATACATCAATTTATTTATGAAGCATACTGTATTTTGTTTTGAATGTATTTTTATTTTGACTACACACACACAAACACAGGAGTTGAACAAAATATGGAAACACCTGCTAGTTTTAATAGGAATCCAAATCTCTTCAAATAAATGAAAAAGCTTGGACATTTAAAATGCATTCTCAGATGTATTTTATTTGTTGATAGGGTAGTCATTGCTACTGCACTTCTCTTCCACACATCATGTTATCCAAGTGTGATCTATTAGCCTCAATCCTAAATATGTACTGTATGTGTATAAAGGCTAGCCATCCCTATTAAGATTGATGTCAAAACATTGTTTACCAGCTGTGTTAAGGCTAGCTTCTCAAGTGTAATATAGTAGTCTCTTATCCAAGTGTTTATTGTTTGTGTGTAAGGGTAAATGCTCCTGATATCCTTCACAACCAGACGTCATGTTATTCAAGTATGAACTGCTCGGTGTATATGTGTGTGTGTGTGTGTATAACAGTGGAAGCTGTCTCGCAGGTGCAAGATAACCAACACAGCACTGTTTAACATATCAAAAGGAACAGACACTAAGGTGGCATCTGAATGAATGTGAGTGTGAGAATATGTAAAGTAGGATAATCACTATTTACCACAAGGATGTAGTAAACAATCATGTTAAACTTATGATGAGGGAGTCTTTCTAGATGACATTATTCCTATCAATACTACAAGCTTTGTTGCATACTGGTTTTCCAAGCATTACTGAGTTTTCAGTCATGTATCCTGGCTTTCCCAATTACCAGTTCACAGTCCCTTCGAACCATGGTAGCGTTATCCATAAAACTAGACTTTGGCATTGCTTTCTCTTCATAAAGAATGAATTTCTGATATCATTTATTGAGAAATCATGTAATAATCTTTTTTTTCTTTTTGATCTTTGAGCATGGTATTTCTACTTAAAAATATGGCTACACACATTCCAATATTTATTTTTTAGTAAAATAATTGATGACGTGAAGGCTCATGGTACACTAATGCCTTGTTAAGTCATTTCTGGACATATGTTTCCATTTCTTTATTCAGACTGTGTGTATGTATATATAACACACATATGATATTATATACAATAATTAATGGTCTTTCTTTTTAGTGGAAGGAAGCCAGCCCGGAAAGTCTAATGGATTCCAAATTAAGATGTGTTTTCCATGACCCCAATGAAAACACAACATCAGTAAGTCAGTATCTGTCTTTCAGGTATTATGTTGTTCTATGAATACTTTTTGTACACATTACAAAGTTCATGAAATGCATTTTGTGTGGGATGAGTTATTGAAGTTATGTTTGATATTATTAAATTTGTAAGGCTAATGAGAAATAACACATGCCATTCAGAAACTATGTAAGAAATATGTAATTTGTTACATTTGTAGCTAATACCTCATAAACCTCTTTTTTTTTTCTAACATATTTTGTTTTTAGTAAAATAATTGATGCCCTGAAGGCTCATGGTACACCAGTGCCATGTTAAGTCATTTCTGGACAGATGTTTCCATTTCTTTATTCAGACTGTGTGTATGTATATATAACATACATATGATATTATATACAATAATTAATGGTATTTCTTTTCAGTGGAAGGAAGCCAGCCCGGAAAATGTAATGGATTCCAAATTAAGATATGTTTTCCATGACCCCAATGGGAACACAACATCAGTAAGTCAATATCTGTCTTCCAAGTATTATGTTGTTCTATGAATACTTTTTGTACACATTACAAAGTTCATGAAATGCATTTTGTGTGGGATGAGTTATTTAAGTTAGGTTTGATGTTACTAAACTCGTAAGGCCAGTGAGAAATAACACATGCCATTCAGAAACTATGTAAGAAATATGTAATCTGTTACATTCATAGCTAATACCTCATAAATGTGGCTATTACAGTTCTTCGTTCTTCCCCTTTTTTTTCTTTCTTCATGTCATCTTATGGAAATAACTTTGTATCTGTGACAGATAGATTGAAGAGAAGCCAACTACTGAACTAGGTTTTTAAAATGTTTTTATAACTTTGCAATATAATTTCATGAAAATCTTATTCCTAAATGATTTTTAATGCATCACAATATCTTTTTCTCCCCAACCACACCCACTTGCTGCGCATTGTTTGTTTCACATTATTCCCATTAGCTTCTGTAACATCGCATTTTTTTAATCCTTGTGTTAACTTGATAGTTTGTTAACTTGATAGATTTATCATTATTTTACCCTTTCATGTTTTTTATTTTTTTTGTACATTTCAATGAACTTTTTATGTTGTGTCTTCAGTGTTGAAAGATCTGATGCCATGTATTTGACATTTTACATTCACCAGTGATCTTTGTTTTTTAATTTGTCTCATTTCTGGCGATGTTGCAACCTTTTATTATCTATTTTTCAACATTTTTACTTTATTCTTTTTTTTTCTGTTTTTATTTCTGTTAGCTTGTTTATATATATATATATATATATATTCACTTGTATCCTCCTCTTAGTGTTTTCTGTCTGTTTGATTCTCTTTAATTGGGTTTTCTTCAATGTTATTCTTCTGTTTGCATCTTCAGTTATGTCCTCCTTGCATTGTGTTCCATTTCATTCTCTACAGTTGTTTTTTGTGCACAGTGTTCTCTCTGTTTGATTTTCTTCAGTTGCATTTTTTCATAGTGCTCTCTCTTTGGCTATGCTTGACTCTCTTTATTTGCACTTTCCTCAGTGTTCCCTCTATTTGATTTTTTAGTTTTGTCCTCCTCACAGTGTTCTCACTCTCAACATTTGACTCTCTTTAACCCTCTCATGGCAGGCATCATTTGCTGCATGTCACAATGGTTTAGTAAAGTAGATTCAAAATTTAATTGAACTATTTTTTTGTCATGGTATGCTAATAAATATAGGATAAAAACATAGCTAATAACCCATAATTTAATAGTATATAAGTTTTAAGTTCTTACTTTTATAAGGCAATATTTAAAAAAATCTAGAATTTCCCCTAGAATTTCTCTAGGCATCCTGTCTTCTCTAATTTATTTACCATCCCTCCAAGAAGTATGAAATTTAATGTAAATTACTTATTATAATATCATAACTCGGGCAAAGCATAATTTTCATAGCTTTCAATCTTATATGGTTACAGAACTATGAAATTGATAACCAGAATACCTGTCACATCCTCTCTTTCAGAAATTGCCAATACTTCTCTCTGATGTTCAATGCTGTAGTATTTATAACCAATAGAAAACCAAGTTTTTCATCTATCAAATGCTATGTTATATTATACTATGTTGTTTTCATTAAAGATAATTGTAAATTTCTCTTTCAGTTCAAGCTTGATTCCCACAGGGAAACACATCGACGAGCTTAGATAAAGTATAATGGTTTTTGTCACATAGTTAGAAAGCCAGAAAATTTGTGATATTATGGGACATTGTCTGCTTTTAGCACATTATTATTCTGTGTTCTTTGGCACTTTCTTTAATTAAATAAAAAATCATTTAGTGCAGTACTACCATTAGTATATAAAAAAAAAAAGTAGGGTTAAGTGTCATTGAAAGTTGACAGCAAAAAATAAAAGACACAGCTAAATACTTTTTTTCTTGTTCTTCATGTGCATTCTTTATTTATTATTATAAAAGAAACTAAAATGTAAAAATAAGCAAACTTTTTGTGTTAGTTCAGGTTAGATTAAGTAAAATAAATGATATAATAAAAGTTTTTCATGAGGTATGCTTTGGAGCAGCTTGTGTGTAGTGTAATTCAATAGCATAGCATGAGCTGCATGTTCACCAAGTGATTTACAACTTATAACTGCCAGAATAGTAGTTAGACAGGGTTGAAAGGGCAATAAAATAATAAAATTTAGGTACAAACAGATGTATACTGTTACAAGTTTAAAGCTATTTAGGATAAAGAAGTATAGTTTCATATTACAGTATAAGAAATTCTAGAAAGAATAGGTAACAGATTTATTTTGATGGTGGTTACAAGGTCAGTCAAATTAACCAACCTTGTATAAAGTTAAGGTAGAGAAAATAACAGATAAAATATGAAGTGTTACTGAAAAAATAATATTTGAAACTTATTTAGAAGGTTTTAGAGATTAAACAAATAAAATTTGAGATTTTGAAGACAAAGAAAAGTAGTTTTAATCTTAACATGGAAATCACTTAGCACTCTGACTAGTATATAGAAACATTATATAAACTAAAGGGAATCAAATATATGGAATATTGTCAGGAAAACAAAACTTGAGTCAAACAGAGAGAGTAATATGAGGAGAACATAACTGAAAAAGAGTCAAGCAGAAACAGCATACTCTGAGATGGATGCAATTAACTCTCTTGCAATGAAGTTCATATTGACCAACCTTGTAATAGCTTTTGTACTCATTATAATTTTTATAATATAACTTGTAATACAGTTTATATATCTCCATAAAATTTGGCAGACTTTTAGTAAACATTACAAGTCTTTTGTACACAAAAAATCAGATTTTTTAATGAAGTATTTTTACTAAAGATGTGTCTGTGAACTTGTGTCCTCCTCACACTGTTCTTTATGTGTATGACAGTCACATACTTCTGCATGAGGTTCCTATGTTTTTGTATTTTATACATAATTTTAAACTAGTATAGTATTTCGTCTTTTTTGTTTGTAAAAGGTTAGACATCATGGTCTGGCTGAAGTAGTTTTAAAATTATCTATTATTTAATTGAAGTTCACTTTGATTACATGTCCAGATTCTTCCATGATTTCTGGTATTTTGAAACTGTTTTTCTAAGCATTTGAATAGAGTGACTAATCAAATTGCTGAACATTTATGGAGTTCAGTCAGAACAGAATTAGTTAACTTAATCCAAATTGTTGTTTTGAAAGTTATGCTACTGCACACTTGACAACACATCAATGTGAAGATATTTTGTATGACTTATAATAGTTGCTTTACATATAAGTTGCTGTGGTTGTCTCCATTTTTATCCAACTTTAAAGAGCACTTGTAATGTTCCTTATCCTTCCAGAATAATCTAGATACTAGTACTGCTGGACAGGCTGATAAAGACATACCTGTTAGTAAAATAACCCCTGACCCATCACCAAAACCCTCCCCAAAGGTAAGATGGGTTACCTAATAACATTACTTGAGATGATATTTCGATTAGCTTTTTTTTTTCTGAGTAAAGATATAAATATAGATGGAAAACTATGTTCATACATTTTTGTGCATTTTATTAAGTTAGTTTTGATGCTTGTACTCTTATTGCTTAGTTTTGTGGAAAAAAGAAAGATTGATATGAAGTTCTTCAGTCAAGTAGACCAAATAGCTCTTATTAATCTGGAGGAATGACCTAAAGTATGTTAAAACTGTAAAGTTTTTCTCAAGAGAATGTTATCTATTATAAGAGCACTTAATCACTTATTCATATGGAAGTGTACTGTAATTGAGTTTGTTTTAATAGTATGAACAAGGGTATATATATGAAAACTAAATTTGTTACTTTTTTTTTATCCAGGCTAGTAACATACAATTAGATGAAGAGCTTCAAAAATACCAAGTAGATTACAGAAGACTGAAGGAGGAAATAATTAACTTGCAGCAAGAAAACAGTAAACTCAAAGTAAGCACATTTCAAAAATATTTTTTAAACCCATATCAACTAAGGAATTGTATCAAAAATATGTTTCAAATCAATACAAACTTTGGAATTGTGTATCAAATGTATCAAATTTACAACAGCTTAGAAATTGTGTCAAAAACATGTTTCAACAACTTAGGAATTCTGTAATAAAATGTGTTTCAAATCTACATGAACTTAAAAATTGTGTAACTAATGTTTCAGGCTACAGTAATTTAGAAATATTGTATCAAAATGTTTCAAACCTACAATAACTTTGAAATTGTGAAAAAAATATTTCAAATTTCAATAACATAGGAATTGTGCAACAAAATATGCTTTAAGCCTACAACAACTTCAAAATTGGGTTTTAACTTTTAAAGTTACTCTTAATTTAATCAACCTACTTAGAGACATTTTAAACTGGTGTCTAAATTAAATAATGTAATTATTCTGTTACTTTAATTTTGACTTTCAATAACAAAAGTCATGTTTGATATTGAAATTCCATTTTAAGTTATTTAGCAGTTCTTCCTATAAAACAAATAGTATTAGTCAATTTGTTTTAGCAGTTTTGATTTAGAATATTTTTCATTATATCTGTGTTTTGCAGCTTGAAATACCTTAAAGTGAACAAATGAAGGGATTAAATATAAGTCTGCATATTAGTACATGTGGCTGGTTCTTAATGGTTATAACATAACTTTGATGGACAACAATAGCTGTCCTATTCACTAAATCAAATGAAACCCTAGAAAAAACCCTCAAAGTCTACCCTTATCATTCAAATATTTATCAAACTTTTCCTCAAACGTCTTTAAATTAACTGCATCCACTGCATCTGAAGATGACCATTCCAGAGGTCAACCAATCTGTTAAAAAAATAAAGCTGTCTCAGCCGAAGATGAATTTTTTCCTGCCAAAATATTTACTTGTGTAACCTAGTCTTACCGTTCTCACCAATAAATATGAAAAAAGATGATGCATCAACATTATAAAATCTCTTAACAATCTCAAACATTTCAATCAGATTTCCTCTAATTATTTTTTCAAGAGTAAACAAGTTCAGAAATCTTAATATATCCACATATGATAACATTTCCATCCTAGTAGCCCTTATCTGAATCTTTTCCAACAATTCAATGGCTTTTCTGAGGTAAGTAGCCCAAGACTGAACATAATACTCCAAATGTGGCCTAACCAATGACCTATACAATGTCATTATAACCTTTTGAAGTCTGTATTTCTGCAGATACAACCTACAATCCTATTTGCCCTACCACTAGCAACAGCATACTGCTTAGATGGCTTAACCATATTGAGATGAGTCTTTCTATGGTCAGGCGTCAAAGGGCATGTCATGTTTGTAGATTTGCATTCAAAATTTTATTGAACTACTATTTTATGAATATATGTCAACAAGTTAGGTATTAAATTGTAGAGTATAATTCAACTTTTAATATTATACATTAGTTAATTTTTAAATTTAGAAGTAGATATTTAAAAATAATTTAAATATCAATTTTGTCTATCACTTGGTAACTTGACTGCAACTTTGGTTCAAATTAGATGTTTGTGGTGTTCAAATATAAAGTCTATAGTTTCTTATGAATTAGAAACTTAAATTACCAATATTGACAAGCTAGAATAAGATAAGAACCTCCTATCTTTTCTATTTTCTGAGATATTATTGTATTCATTATATTTAATGAATCAACCAAGGTGGCCCCGCCCACCTCTTCAGTTTTTGAAAATACTTGCTTACGTACACCTGCTTTGCCTAGTGACGTGTGTATAACCAATCAAGAGCTCGGAATGTCCCTCACGTAGTTTTCTCAGCTTCTGGGAAGTGTTTATATGGGGGGGAACCTTTCTTTTCATAGTTGAATCGAAGCAGTTTGGTAGGACATTATGGAGCTGGAAAAACATATTTTTTTTAGACCCAAATGCAGCTTAGTTACTAAGCCTGATAAATTATAGTGAAATTCTGTGGTATTGATATAGTAATTTTTAATTTTTGTTATTCTGTTTTGCATCCTCCATGTGCAAAATTTGACAAGGCTTAGCAAATTACAACAAGCAGCAAACAAGTACAAAGTTCATAAGTAGAAGAGATCATTGTTTTCTATACTTCTTTATTTACTGTTCTATGTTTTAAGAAAAATAACTGGAATTTAAGAACTTATTTGTAAATAGTAATAATATATATACATATATAATGTATTATAACCAAAATATGACTGTATTTTACAAAATACTGGTCCACTAGAACAAAGCCAAAACAGGTCACTTTGTAAAGGCCAGTTTTATATTATTGGATATTGTAACATGAGTGCACATGTGACGCGTCATTGCAACTTCTGTAATGTTAGTCAGACACTGCTGAAAGGTCAATAAAATAATAAATATATATAGATGTATAACGTTAGGAGATTTAAGCTATTTAGACTAAACAATTGTGGTTTCGTGTTATAATTTGTGTTTATTCTAGAATGAAAAAAGCATAATTTATATATACATTTCTTAATTTTTTTATGGTGGTTACGAGGTCAGTCAAATTGATCAAACCCATACAGAGATACAGTAATGAAAATAACAGATAAAATATAAAAAATATTTCCAAAAAAAAACGTTTGTTAATTATCTGGAGGTTATTGGGATTTTACATGTGACATTTGACAAATGCATAAAAATATTTTTAATCTTAAAAGCAAAATTACTTTGCATGTTGGATAGTCAACATTCGAAAAGACAAAATGCACGAGCAAATAATTGATTAAAAAAATCTTAAAACATAATTAAAATATCTGATATTTTATGTATGAATGCCTTGTAATATTTACTGATAATCTGCAAAATTTTGTTAAGATACATATACATTTTCAAAAATTACAGTATGACTGCTTTATGGTTACTTTGGGGATACAGGCTGGGTGAAATCCACCCACCTTTGGTAAAAGGGTTAAGAGAATGATCAATCAAAACACTAAGATCTTTTTCTTCCATAACACTGTGAAGATTATTCCCATCAAATATATACTTATGATTCAAATTGTGATATCCCACAAGCATTACCTTTCATTTATTATGATTAAAAGCCATCTGCCATTTATTCGTCCAACTTGCCAAATAATCCCAATTCTTTTGTAAGGCAGAAGCATCTTCCTCACAGCCAGCAACATCCAAAATAATGTCATCAGCAAAGTTAAATAATCTATTGACCAATCCTTCATCCATGTCATTGATCTAAGGTTCTAACATTGAGCCCTGAGGTACCCCACTTGTAACATTAATCCAGTTTGAATGAACTCCATATATAACAACCCTCTGCTTTCTTCCATGAAACCAGTTTTTAATCCAATGAGCTAACATATCTCTCACACCTACAGAAATAATAACTTTTTACAAGCCTTGATGTGGCACTTTGTCACGTACTTTTTGAAAATCGAGATACATTAAATCCATATCCATACCACTCATCAACATAAGCAGTAAGTTTATAAAGATTTATGCTTTCCTAATGTTATTATACCATTATTTTTTATAGAGGTCTTGCACTGTTGTCAAAAAGTTAGAGTTTTCTCTGCCATATTGGACATCAAGTGCTTACATTTGTCAATGACAAAAAGTGAACTTGTCTTCTAATGTCATGTTATCTGACTCTGTAAATCATCTCAATGGTGTGTGTGAAGAAAGATATATGAAGAAAGTGAATAGCCTCAGAGTTTCAGATGTGTATCTTTTGCCAAAGGTGATATATATATGCCATTAACAGCATGTAAAGTTTTTAATAATGTATTCATATGAATTCCTGTTGATTGCTAAAAGAGAATGTTTGACATCCATTATGGTAGCATTGAATGGAAGAGGAAGTTTGTGACATCACATGCAAAACATTTCTACTTGGTAAACAGTAGTTTCTGAAACTTTGTGCCTTTCTAATGATTATGGTACTACTGTATTTCATAACCAGAAGTTTATAGAAGTGTGTGCTTTCCTGATGGTTATAGAAATGATACAGAAGGTTGTGTGTGTTTGAATATCCAAATCAAGAAGGCTCATGACAGCTGCGACCATTGTAAAGTCATGATGGAACAACACGTGTCGGAACTAATTTTTGACAAAGTTTGAGTTTTGTAGTTAATGTGATACCACCAAAAATTGATAACTTTTTTAAGGGTACATACTAACCATTTTAAGCACAAAATATTCATACAATCAGTTCATAAAAATTTGTTCTGATCAGAGATTTAGGGTTTCCAATATCCCTCATATTTAATGACATTGGAAAACAAAGGAATATGGATCAATTTGAAACACCAGAACCATCTTGAAAGAGACCTGCAACAAATGATACCTCTGCTATAGTAAGCAAAGTATGGTGTTTTAACAAGTGAGAGTCCATGAACACAAAGGTCAGTGGCAGAAGCTGTTCATGTGCCCCAGGTAACAGTATATAATATAATCAAGAAAGATCTCTGCCTAGAAAGGTGACACGAGTCACTTGTACACAAGTCGCTTTCATAACACATTCATTCAACCTTCACATTCCTCTAGCACCTTGGGAATGATTTGGATATTCACACCATTCCATACAAAGACATGCTGGTCAAGTCACCAAATGCAGTGTCTACAGATTCGTGGTTATTGGACTGTTGAAACTGATAATTACTTAGTGAGACATTGAAACATGTAGGGTGTATGAGACTGTTTATAGTCTCGCAATATTATATTTTATCTTTATACAGTAAAATTATTAAGTAAACATTTTTTTCTTTTATATTGAGACTGGGGACAGGCTCATTTTTAAATATTTATTGTGTACTATTAAATGTTAGCTTTATTTCTTTAATACATTTGTGTAGCTAAATAATTCACTGTATTCATATTTATTTCTGGTCACTGTAGATAGTATTTGTTGATAAGTAGTTACTATAATTACAGGATTCTTTGATGTGATGTTCTCCTGCTATGCAACCGTAACAAAAGGCAAGGCATGAATTTTTAGCATTTCAAAGAAAGAAATATCTGTAATGTTGAAACTCATCAGCAAAGGAAAGTGTGGTTCTAGCAAGGAAAAAAAAAGGGCTACTTCATAACCAATCACACACCAAAGACAGTGGGGAAAGTTAAACAGCTTGTCATCAGAACTAGTCCAAGGATACATAGGTCCATTGCAGGTAAAGGAACCTTCTCTGGAAGTGTAAACAAGATAGTTCACATGTAATTAGGCCTATGAAATGACATGATGGTCCAAATTCATTAGATTCTGAGAGAGCATGTGGTGAAATAGAATGCCAACTACTGAAAGCAGTACAATGGATTTTTAGCACATTACAAAAGGAAATATATCATCACATTGAATGAAGCATATGTCAACAAAAGTCGTGGTAATGTATTACCATCGTGCCAGTGATATAGCATTTCAAAATTGTTACAGAGCATGTGACAAAAGTTTTTAAAAAACATTTGCAAGTATTGTATTGTACAGCTATAATGGCAAGTTACACACTTTGAAACTCAAGGAAAATTCTGAGAGGAACTCTGCTTACTATCAAGCTAATTAGCTAATAATACTATATCATAAGGAGGTATAATATTTGTATGGACTGGATGCCAATGAATTATAGCTTCATCAAGACAAATTCCCATGCAACCTGCTGCTCTTTCTGCAAAATGTTACACCATTTATAAACATCTTCCATGAATGCCTGAAATGCTCAAACGAGTTCTCAAAAATCATTGTCTGTGCATGGTTGAGGAGCATTGAAAGGCATGTAAAGAGCATGTGGTCTTGTGTAGTAGAGATTACCTTGCACAGCAATTGTCTGTAACTAGAGCCATTACACAGAACATCATCAGTGGTGGAAGAATGGGCTGAAGGTTTCAAAACTCATCTTTTTATCATAACCACAGATAATGGACATCCCTCTTTAGTATGTTTCGCAATCAGAAGTTTATAAAAATTTGTGTTTGTGATTTCCTAGTGGTTATGGTACTAGTATACATCATATTCAGGATTTCTAGAAGTTCTCTCACATAGAAATAATTGTACTAGTATAGTTCAGATCCAAGGTTTACTAATATGGACAAAATCTTCATTTTAATTCTTTGGTTTTTGGAAAGATTTAAATTAAACTGTTTTTTTCTTAATAAAAATATATGTGTATAATCTGGGTTTGTTAACAAACTAAGTATTGATCCACACTTAAGCTAGGCAAAATGTTAGTATAGTTTTAACTTGTGATAATCTGATACAAATATTTTATTACTTTATATAATATTTATTATTGCTGTAAATCAGTTACAAGTGACATTACTTGTTTCACTGTTTGGTAACACAAGATAAAGTAAACAAATTATTTGTTATTTGTGGGTTGTTAATGTCCTAAAATGGTATACCTCTTATTTGAAAATAATCAGAGTTTTGATGTTGCAAATTTGAGGTTACAGGAATACGTGTTGCTTACATTTAATTTTCTTCAAACTAAACTTAAGTTTATATTTAGTGTTCTTAAATTTTGTACAGAATTAGATAGAAAAATAGGCTGATTTTGAACTTGGACATGAGCATTAGTTTGTACTAAGTTCTGTTTGATATAGTGAAATGATAATTATTTTCTCTAGGAGGAAAGCCTAAGACAAAGAGTATCAAGCTCAACTTTTGGAGGAGAAATCCATTCATCACTCAGGACAAGTCCATCCCAAGACAAAAAAACACCACCTAGTGTAAGCCAGCCAAGACTCTTTCAAGAACCTCAACAACAGAACTACATGATACATATTGGTATCATCATTGGAGGCTATATTTTGGGTCTTATTTTTGGCAAATTCTTATTGTAGATTATGAAACCAAACAGATGGATCCCTGCTTTTTTCAGCTTGTTACATTTATTAAATGTTTATCTACAACCAAACTTGTAATTATTTTAATTTGGGTCAGTTTTTTATTCAAGTAACGGTAGAGTAGAGCTCAACAGGTTTCTGAATTATTAATTGGTCTCACTAATTTACGTGGTAGAGTAGAGCTCAACAGGTTTCTGAATTAGTAATTGGTCTCACTAATTTACGTGGTAGAGTAGAGCTCAACAGGTTTCTGAATTAGTAATTGGTCTCACTAATTTACATGGTAGAGTAGAGCTCAACAGGTTTCTGAATTAGTAATTGGTCTCACTAATTTACATGAAAAGAACTTTAAAGATAAAGAATTCTGATAAAAAATGATGACTTAGCTGTCAGAATCTGAATAGCATCAGAATAGCTTTTCAAATTTCTTGAAGTTTGTGTTTGAATGGATTGCAATATTCCATATGGTGAGTTTTGCTTGTTATTAGAATGCTGTCAAAGATAATGTTTCTTTTTCCATTCACGTTTTAAAGTTGATAATGTCTCTTTCTGATATGAAGAATTTCTGGAAACCCATACTCCATCATAAAGGGTTATAGATAGTATTTTAACCAATCCAGAATAATTTCTTTCAACAATTCTAGTCCTTGAAAATTTGCCATTTTTCTTTGTCAGACTGTTTAGTTTGTGATTTTAGACAGAATTAGCAAGATATCTATTTTAAATGATAAACAAAATAACAATAAAATTACAGCTCATATTTAGTTAGCTTGATATGATAAGATATTATGGGACTTTTGTTTTTATCATTATTAGCTTAATGTTATATTTTGTTTTAGCGGAGCTTAATTTTTGGTTCTTTGACCTTTGGCTGTTAAAATTAATAAGAGCTTGATAATTGTTGCTAAATTCATTGAATAATTTTTAGTCTTTTTCTCAGCTGAATTATTTATACAAGGAATGTTGACTAACTGAGGTGCATTGCATAAGTATCTTAAATATAATCAGTGAAGTTTAAGGTGTGAGGAACTTTCAGAGATCAGTTTTTGCTAGTGACGTAAACAGTGATCCTCATCTATAAAGTTTTATCTTGATAACTGAGAGATGCATTTCTTTCTAGCTACTTGACTATTGAGAAATATTTACACTATAAACTAACATAAATAGCCTGATAGTAACATTTCACTTAGTCACTTCTTGCTATTTACAGTGTGGGGTTAGAAGGCTTTCTTGGAAGGTATTTGCGGTAATGTTTTAGAGGAATACATGCTGCTAAAATTGAAATTGTGTGATGGTATTTTAAAAGAAAGAAGTTTTGGATAATCATGCAGTGTGGCTCAGTTAAAAGTGGTGAAGAAAAAATACTTCCTAGTCTACTAAACAGTTTTGTGTATTTAGCTACTGTGTACCCTAATCATTTATCACTTGATCTTAGATTAATACTAATTAGATGTGGCATCAAAATAACTAGGTTTGGCAAAATTGCAAAAAGGATAATTTTAGTACAAAACTACTGTAATATTTTGACTAATCCAAAGATTAGTTTAAAGCCTATTGAAAATAATAACTAGAAAATATTCCATGGTGCTCCGCTTCTGGGAACACTAAATGTTTTCATATATCTTGTATCTGAATCAATTCCAGGTATTCAGGACTGTAGTTTGCATCTGGCAACCATAAGTACAGTTGACATTTTGTAGGAGTAAGAACAATGTTTTTGTTTTAGTTTACAGTACCTTGTTCATGACAGAAATAAACAACATCTATAGCTGGAGAATTTCAGTGATTTTAGGGCTCTGCAAACTATGTAGTACATGCAATAATTTTTTAGATTAATCATTGCTCACAATATTTTATTTGCAAGATTAACACAGCAGGTTGTATTAATTTGTTAAGACATTTGAGTAGCATACATACACATATATTTCTGTAATTTACCACCAATTTTAGCAATTTATTTAAAAAATAACTTCCAGCTCTTAGATATAATTTCCTTCAAAAATTAGCATAGTGCTAATTATATTTTTCAGTACTAAATAATAAACTACTAATCACATCAAGAATAGAATCAGAAAATAAAAGTGGCTACAATTGTTATATAGGATTTGCTGAAATAGCTTATAATGATGAAGAAACTAGCATACGCAATAGAGTAATGCACTCTAATGTTCGATAACAGTGTTTCTTGATATATATCTCATTTAGCTATTATAGATTAAACTTTTGCCATCCAAGGGCCTTTAGATGTGTGAAACATATTTCTGTTATTGAAAAACATTAAACCTCCCACAAAACATTTAGTTTTTAAAAACTAAAGGCTGTTAAAAGTAGTTTAATATGAAAAGATTGGAGGATTAAAAAATTAAAATCAATGCTTAGAGGGATTTGCTGTGAACACCTGAAAAATGAGTAATAATGAACAATATGCTTTTGTTTCTTATATATTCGTTATTGATAAAAACAAAGACAGTTATTTAGTTATTAGTGTAGCTTTTAACTCAATAATATTACTGATAACAAATTGTGGTATTCTTTGAACTGGTATATTACATTGATCTTCATATCAAGTATTTTTCACTGTTATGAGAGAGAGCTTTTGTACAAGGTACAGCAGAAGTTTTGTAAATAAGTTAAGGAAAGTTATGTTAGGTGTTGACATTTCTAAAACTTTCTGGCTTTTTGTTTTCAGGTATTTGTAATGACTTTCTTAACAGAGTAGTAAAAAATATCTTCAGTATATATATATATAATATAATATAAACACACACACACACACATACATAATGACAGGATATCAACAATTTGGGTGTAGTGGTATGTATGAACCACAAATATCAGGTTTAACATTTAGTCACAAAGCAAGTCAAGACAATCAACCTGTAGCTGCCATGGAAGACAAAACCATGTGTATATGTAATATCTAATAAACCAATATACTTATTTACCCTAGACAGTGTGGTGTACAACATCAGGTTTATATGTAACACAACAAGATAAGACACTTAATAATCACCTGGTATTAAGGATGTAATTCATTAAAATATATAAGTTTATAATTTGATACAATAAGAGCAATAGCGATTAATTTAACACTAAAAAACTGAAAAAAGTGCAACATGTTTTTGAGAAAGGTGGTAATGTTTAGATAATACAAGCTCTAAAATTAAGTTCATCCATATAAAATGATGTTGTGCAAGATAAGGCATATTTCCCTATTTTAACTTCAACACATTGTAATTCAGTAGTTAAAAAAACAGCATATATAAGAAGATAAAAACTGTACCTGTTATTGATGTGTAAAAAACTAAACATTGCTGGTTAGCACTGGTGTGATAGAAGTAATGATATACAATAACTGTATAGTTAACTACTCTGTGCATTTACAATGCATCAACCTTCTTGGCTTGTGAGATAAAAAAAAATATGTTCTGGAAATTATACTTTATCAGCCTTTCATGCCACAAATTTTCATGTTTCTGAGTAAGTGAAGTGTATTTTAAAATGTGTGTGTGTGTGTTTTTATTGGTAGGGATTCATATGTCCTTCAAGACTAGCTTAGTGCAAGTTATGATATAGAAAAGTATGGGTCATGGAAGTTTAGATATTTTAGTATTGTATTTGGTCAGATTTGCAAAGGGGGCAACTGCCCAGGGGCCCAGGCGATTGAAACCTGGTTATGCCGTAAAGCTTGCAAAGCATCTTTGGGCTATATCTTCATTTAATGATAAAAACCATAGTTTTTGGCTTTTCTTTGCATATAGATGCTTGATACATTAAGCATGACTGAAATAATAATTTGAGTAATAATTAATATGAATTTGTTACTTTATAGATTTAATAGATATTTGTTGTCACTTTATTAACACTTATACTGTGAGGTAAAAACGGCTGCTACTATGATTTTCTCTGGTTTATGAGCTTGTTGCTGTCTTAATTTAGGATCTGCTTTTTAATAAATTCTTGAAAATGTTAAAAAAGAGAGAGAGAGAGAGAAAGGGGGCTTGGTGAGGATGTTTGCCCCGGGGCTCGTGCTGCTCTCGATGTTCCTGTGTCTGATTCTATCTGTTCATGCATTCAGTTTTAAATAGTTTTACAAAGTGATTCTTAAACTTCAGAAATTTAGTACTTGTATTTAGAAGTTCATGTTTCAATTTATATAAAAAGAAAACTAAATCCTAATGTAGTGAAAAGGTTATGCTCTTAAATGCACAAAACAATAAGATGGTGGTGTTAGAAGCTTCTTGTTTACTTATATCTGCACATTAGTTAACAACTTTGTCTCATATAATCTGTTAATGGATAAATGATATAAACTTATGTTTTTATTTAGAGCTGATTCAAGATTAGAACAGCACCGAATATTGTTTATTGAATCTTAAACAATGAATGTTTTGTCAATAATTATGAAGGCATAGTTGAGTGTTATATCTTAGAAAAATAATTATAACTATTTGTGTTTTCTCATCATTATTTTATGCTTAAGATTTAGGAATGCTGTTACTTGGATGGCTTGTGAATGAATATTTTTTTGAGGTTAGTTCTTCTGGAGAAATGTCTAAATATTAAAAAAAAATAATAGTTAAAGTAGTTGAAAGAATGTTTAGTGCTGGTGTATGGAGTATTTTTCATTTTTGATATAAGATCTATAGATAAGTATATCTGATTCATTACATGTTATTTTGTACTAACAAAATGCATTTATCCCTATGAAAGAATAAGTAACTTGTATGGAAACTTTCATATGTGTATGGTAACAAATTAACCTACCATTCTCAAGATGTAAAGCCAACACTTGCAAGGGCAACAACTTTAATTAACAAACAAGATATTGCTAAATTCTGGTAACTTGTAAGACTCTACTGTTTTTTTAACTTTTTTTTTTCTAAAACTCTTTATCTCTGTAACCAAAAACTTATAGTGTGTACTCTTCACAAGCTGTAATTATTCTTTAAACATTCCAGAAAAGCAATTAATGTATATTAATGACTGGTAATTTTGATATGAATATGGGACAGTTTTCTTCTTTATGTGATGTACCTTTAGCAACTTCATGAAGTAGAAGAAACAAAATTACTTGTTCTCTTCATTTGGAAATACTTGAATGGGAGTTTGAATAGTAATTGAATTAGTTTGATTGTTATTATGTTTTGTAAAGTTTTGTTGATCATTTTAATTCTTGCTGTTTAACAGTATAATTATGAAAGCTTGAAGTGATTAACTTAAAAGTATGTAACTTCAGTAAAGTTCTGTAATTTATCATGCTAACATATATTAAATGTAAATAAAATACTGTTCTACAATTGTACAACAGAGAATAATCAGCAGCTGTTGTTTGTAAGGAAAACATAAGAATCACTTATAATTTTTATGTACACTATTTAAATTAATGTTTCTTTTATGAAAAAACGAACAGAAAAATCAACTATCTTAAAGTGTTTGTGGGTTTGTTACTATTTTCTCAGTGACTTGTCTGATGGGGTTTCAGTACTGAAAGTGCACAGTATGGCATACCAGTGGCTGTTTAAATCTTTGTTTTCTATGCTGCCACTTTATAAAGAATATTTTTTATTTTCACTTCACTTTTAGTTTATATAAATAGTTTCAACTCTTCTTTCTTCATGTATAGTGTACTAATTATGGAAATAAATTTTAACATTAGCTCACAGCACTCAATTCTAGGTCAGTTGCTCACTTGGAGTGCCACTCTGATTACTGTGGGTCTAATGTAAATCTGTGATGTTATTAATATCATGTGACTGTTCTAATAGAGAAGGGTTGATTCCAAAGAAAAATACATGTTTGGAAAGATTGTAAGGTAAGTGGTACATGTAAGATAAAGTGAAATGTATGTTTCTGTGTATGGACAAGATTTGTCATATGTCATGGTTGTTTTTTTGGTAAACTTGTTTTATTAAAATAATGTTAACAATGTTAGATATGTCTAGACCAGCATGTCCCAAATTTTATGGTTGCAAGCATTCTAGAAATTATTTCTCCATAACATTTATATTTTACCTAATAAAAATAGAATAAATAGAATTATAACAGTTCTTTGTAAAGCATCACATTTTAATACCTCTATGAAGAAGGATTTTCTTTACTAGTGCAAATAAAGATAAAGGAGCATAATAGGTTGAAAGACATAGAAATAGAACTTTGATTATGACTAACAAGTTTCCAACCATGCTTGAAGAAACTGTGCTTGCTTAGACAAGTGCATAGCTCACATTTTAGTGTTAAGTCACAGTTCTTCTTCCACATCTTTCATCCGAAGTAGTGTAATTTTTGTGATTTTGTAATTCATTGTGCTGTTGTATCACCATCCATTATATAAATGAAAAGTTTAATTAAGTATTATTTGTATTATAATTTCTCAGAAATATTTTAATATAAGGTTTGCGACAAATATGGTATTTCTAGGACTCTATGCAAATAGTTATGCCATGATAAAAGCTTGGGAATTACTGGTCTAGACAGTGTTGAAGAAATAATTTGAAATACATTT